AAACAACTATGAAAAGGAAAGGTAGAAAATGCTTTCTATAACTGGTACATTTCAAGAATGAGTAACTACATTGTTAGTTAAAAAGACACAATCTAGGCCGAGAGAATACCACATACAAAGGTATAGACTAGAGGATAAAAATGCAAAGAACTAGCAAGATGAATGGCTGGTGGATAAGGTTCAGGACAGTACCTTGGGATCATGTTGTGGCAGACTTTGTGCTGACTAGGTTGGACCTTTCTGGAGGATTAGAACTTTATTAAATTCACAACATCTAGGACATATTTTGTTTCTATTCTCTCTTATATGATTTTTAAAAAATTATTCACTTAGCCTTATACTGAGAAAGGAAAGCTTAGGGTCCTAAACAGGTTTCCCTCTAGAGTTCCCCACACATTGGCAGATCCTAGGCTTTATTGTCTCAGGTTTGTCAAAGTGGAAGTCTATGTGTATTCTGTAGGACTTACCAGTATACAAGTCAGGTTTGCTTCTCACTTCTTAGGATCTGAGCTCACACTTTATATGTTGATTTTAAATTTATTATTTTCCACAATTTTGTATGGATGAAGCAGTAATTCTGCTTTACATGGTGTTAGCTGCAGCAATAACTGAAAGATCCAAAATGGCCTTTCTCAAAGGACCAGTTGGTGCTAGCTTCCAGTAGGGGCGGGAGTCTCCATGTGGATAGTTGGCAGGAGGATATCAGTTCTCTTCCACTTGGGTGTCTGATAACATGGTTTGAGGGGAATTGTTATGGTTTGTGTCTGGGTGTCCCCCCAAAGCCTCATGCAGTCATAGTGTTGGCTTCTAGAGTTTATGATTGATTCATGGTACAATGTTGGAATTATGGATGTGAGTGCTACACCTGCCCTGGGGAAGGTAGTTTGCATAGAATGTAAGGGAGGAAAAGAGGCTTCTTGCTGCCATTCCTCCCTTTTGTTCTTGTTGCTTTGCTGTGTTACGCTGCCATGAACACTTGCCCTCTGCCATGTGCCACTCTGCCTTGGAACCAGCCAAGTATGGACTGAAACCTCCACAAATTGTAAGCTAAATAAACCTTTCCTTCCTTAATTTTGGGCATCAGGTATTTTGTATCAGCAACGAGAGAAAAGTAACCAAGACAGGAACATTTCAAGGAGTTAATGAAGAAGCTACAGACCCAAAGCCTTCACTCTTAGCTAAAATCCGAGCCCCCTTTTTATTTTTTATTTTGAAACAGGTTTTCAGTAAGTTGCTGAGTACTGGGGACCAGGCTATGTGACAGATTGGTGAGGGCCAAACTACAGGGCCTGTAGTCATGAGGCAGACATTGACTTGCTTCAGGAATAGGGAAGTTTTTTGAAGACTGCAGGCTTCATGGCTGAGTAGGATGTAATCCTGTAACCCCACACTCCTGAGGCAAGATAACATCTGCTGAGGACAATACAACAAAAGCAAGTACCCAGGTGTGAAGAAGGATCTTAACTTGTTTCCTTTGTGATGCCAAACTTGCTCCTCATTCTACTGCCTCTTGGTCTTACTGCAGTTGCTTTTCCAGGAAAAGTACACTCTCCCTCCCCCTGCCATTCTCCTTCTTTATGGCCGATAAATACTCCATTATAATAATAATACTCCATTATTAGAATAATACTCCATTATATAAAAGGACCACATCATTTTGGTTGTTCCCAGGATTTAGCTATTATAAATTGTGCTGCTATAAACATGGGTGCACATATATCACTGTGGTATAATGTTTTTAATTCTTCTGGGAAGATACCCAGAAGAGGAATAGCTGGGTCAAATGGGACCTCCAACTCTAGTTTTTTGAGGAATCCTCACACTGATTGAGACAGTATATTTTGTCCCCACTCTTCCTTTCTGTCTCCTTCCTGGCTGTCATGAGATGAGAAGTTGTGCCATCATGCTCTTTCTGCCTTTGAGCCAGGTGACCACACACTGAAACCACAAGCCAAAACCAATCTCTCCTTCTTAAAGTTGTGGCTGTTGGGTATTTTGTCCCAATGACTAAGACAATGGCCACATAGGATATCATCCTTCCTTTTTAAGGGTATTTCTCTACGAGAAGGGAGGGTGGAAAGGGGAAGGTAGAAGAAAAGTGTCCCTTGTAATTAGAGTCTCAGCTTATAGCTTTGCAGTGTCTATATTACAACTGATACTTGCAGTGTGCCTCACTGATTTGCCTACATGTGTTGTCTTCTGTGGTTTCCCCCAGCAACCTCTACTCCTCCTTGGCCACTTCTTGCAATTTTGGGACTCCATTTCTTGAGTAGACCAGACCAGCATTTCTCTTTGCTGTTGCTGCCTGGTACTCTTTATCCCCAATCTCTACCTCTATCTCTCTTTCCCTCCCCCTTTTCTCTCTCTTCATACCAAGTGATCTGTTTAGAGCTGGTACCTTAGTGGCGTGGCACAGGCCCTTAGTGATAAGTATTTTAAGTTTTACCTCTTGGTTTATGAGGGATGGGATGGGGATGGTTGCCTTCTAGCAAAGGAATTTGAGTAGTTAGTAGTACTGGCCTTTATTTTATACTGCCAGTTCTCATTTCTGGGATGCACATGTATCACCAGGAAGCTGGGTGGAAGAGAATATCCAGGCACAATTATACAGTATTCCTGAAAAACTTTGTTTCATTTGATACACAGGTCTAATTCTAGGTCAGAGTGGTTCTTTATGTCTTTAATGGCATTTTTAAAAAAAATGCCTACCACTTGGCATCTTTATTCTATCAGAAATGACATATAAGTTAAGCCCTAACCAACAGGGCCTGCCCTGGTCTTAGGTCCCTGCCCCAGGTGCCATCTACAGGGAACTGGCCCACTCCTCTGAGCTTTCCCCACCCAGGTACCACTTGCAGGGACCTAGTCCTGCTACTATTTTGTTCCCCTGAAGTGGGAGTGAGTGAGGATGAATGACAAAGAGAAACAGTGTACCATGTGGGAAGCCAGAGGCTCTTGCCTCTAGTCAGCAGAGGAGTCTTGAACCTCTAGCTTGTCCTTTTTTATTCACCCAGACACAGGTACAAGCAATTAAAGTAACACAAGATTCATCTGCCTCATAATATCCATTAATACATGCTCAGGTAGGCTGAACATGTGGTGCACACCTGTAATCCCAGCACTCAGGAGGCTGAGGCAGGAGCTCACTGTGAGCTCGAGGCCAGTCTGGGCTACTAGTGAGTCCAGGACAACCTGGACTACACAGCAAGACCCTGTCTAAAAAAAAAAAAAAAAGCAAAATAAAACAAACAAAAAAAAAACCATGCTCAGATAAACAACTTAATCTCAGCTGTATAAACTTTTCTCTAGAACCTGCAATGTGCCATCACTCTGCATGTTGCCTTTCTCCATTGTTCTCACAGAGGAAGCCAATTAGGCCTCAATTCGCCTCTGGTTTCCCACACAGGTTCCTACTTTTAACAGGAGCCCACAGTGGGATATAGTTATGTAACCATGACTTAGCCATGGACAACTACACATGCACCAATGAGGCCAGCATGTAAGAACGTAAATATGAGATAACAACGTGTATAAGAATTATACAGTAAAGATATAGGGAGCTCTTGGGTTCTCCCACTCTGCTCCATCCTGCTTGCTGTTGCTGATGTCTTGAACACGTGTTCTTTAACTTGGGGACCTCACCTATGAAAATCGTCCTTGAGCCCTCTGAGGGTAGGTGGACAGGCGGTTAACAAAATACCTTTGGCTGGGTAATTTATAGACAATAGACTTTTATTGCTTATAGTTCTAAAGGCTGGGAAATCCAAGGCCAAGGGGGCCAGCAGATTCAGGGTTTGTTGAGGGTCACTTTCTCATTGATGGCACTTTTGTTGGGTTCTAAGGCGGTGGGGGAGATTGGGCTGAGGAGCTCCGTCATGCCTTTTCCACAACGTTATTAATCCCTTCATCATAAGTCCAATGAACCTAATTACCTCCCAAAAATAACATACCACGTCTTAATACCATCACTTTGTTACTTTTTTTGAGATAGGGTCTCCCTATGTAGTTCAGACTGATCTTGAACTCACTATGTAAGTCAGGGTGGGTTCAAACTCAACGTCATCCTTCCGCCTCAGCCCCCTGAGAGCTGAGATTATAGGCATACGTCACTACTTCCGGCTCAAGAATTAGTTTTCAATGTATGAAATTAGGGGAGGACACACATTCAAACCATACCAGGGCGATTCTCCATTTCTCTTGGGCCCTAAATGATAATGGTTTCTGGGGCACGAAGGAGTCTAACACACTGTCTTCTCCATCAGCCTTTGCTGAACTGAAAACTGGGGGTAGAGAGAGAAGGCAGAGAGGCAGACAGCCGCCTGTATAACAGAGGTATCTACCACTGCACCACCATGGCACCAGCGGGTCTGGGTATCTTGTAAGAATCAGAGTTTCGTCCTTTTAAACAAAATGTCAGTGGCTTCTGTAAAGACTGCCCCAAACTGGGCCACAGGACCCAGCTACCAAAGGCACTTGCTAGGTAGAGATAGGCTTCCATTTCCCATCTTGCAGGGGAGAGTTTAATGAACGCCCCTGTGCTGGCTTACCAACGGCCCAGCTGCCTAGGGGAGCAGATTCGGGTAGCCCAGCCAACGATCCATCGCGCCCGCGGCCAGGGCGCAGGCGCAGCCCCTCTGGCCTGTCCTGCAGTTAGCTCCCAGCCGGGGCACGTCTGCGCAGGTTCCTGCCGAGTCCGTGGTCAGTGCGTGGGAGCCAGTGGTCTCGGGGCAGTGAGAATCGCTGCGTGCTGGGGTTGCGGCTTTCTCCTGGTGGCGTGAGTCCTCCGCGGGTGTAGATGCGCGCGAGAACTGAGTGTCACAGGAGAGGGGCGGCTGAGCGGGGCGGTGGGAGGAAGCCGGGATGCGGGGTCTGAGATTTCGCCTCGGAGCAGGAGTTGCGCGCGGACTGGCCAGCAGCGCTCTGGGCCCCATCGTCCGTCCAGATTTGTCTGCCCTGCGCGGGGCCCTGCAGGTCTAGGCGCCTCTCCGTGCCGAGTGGGAATGCCCTATGACATCCAGGCGGCCCAGGCTGCGCCGCGTTCCCTGAACCCTCTAGAGGACCGCGGGGCTGCGTCCGGAAGGCAGATATTTGGACCTAGAGAGAGGACGCCTTCCCTTAGCCCTAGCTATGCCGTCCAAAGCATCATCAGGTTTGGTGCAGAGGTTCAGCGTCCTCCTGGGAAGTTGGTCCTAGGGCTAGGAGGAGGGGGACCCAAGGAAGAGGCTGGCGAATGCCACTGAGGGGCACAGCCGTGCCTGCATTTCCCGTAGCCATTCTTAACCTTCTAGACCCAAGAAGCCAAAGTCTCAGCAAAGAGCCAGTAGCTGAAGTGGATGCCTTGTCCCCAAGATGGGAGCAGAATGGGCAGAGCAGGAGGGAAGCTGAACAAACCCCAGGGGAAGTGGTACTTGGGCAGAGATCAGAGGACAGTAGGACTTGTCACCGCTTTCTTAATCATTTCACTAATAAAATTATTCTAGTTCTTCTGGCTGAGCAGTGTACAAGGTCAGCACGGTAGTGGTGGCACCCACCTGCTGTGAGTCCTCTCCCCCAGTGTAGGAGTTAGAGCAATCCAGGTGACCTGAAGGTTTTTAACCATTCCTTTCTAAATTCGGAATGCCCTATCCTTTGCCAGTTGTACATTTTAATTTGTTCTTTCTTCATCATACATGCTCAAGTTCATAAAAATGGCCAGTGGAACAATGGGATCAAATGTCCCTTGTGGCCTTTATGTCTCTCACTGTGGCCCATGGCCAGCAGCACAGGCGTGGCAAAGCTCTCTAGGAATGCAGAGTCTCAAACCCTACCCCACAATCAGTAAATCACAGCTTTAAGTCTCAAATCAGAGTTTAACAAGATTGTTGGGGATCCAGGTAGAAAAGTTCTGTAGTTGTTAGCCTGTCTTATATCTGCAAAGTAGATTAAAAGTTCACTGAAGCTCTTCTCTGTGTCTGTATTTCCAAATACATAGGAAAGGACCTGTATTCAAAAGGCCCAGTAAGTACTCCAGGGGAGTGGCCAGGCTGGTCACAGTCCACTAACTGCAGCCTGCTGTGGGTCTCTGGGCAAGTAGGAAATTCATGCAGCTATGTACAGGGACCCTTCTGTCTGATGTAGGCAGGCTAGAAGCTGCCTCTTGGTTCCCTTTAATGCATCTGTGTTGACAGAACCACAGAGGTGACCTTTAGAGCTGTGTAGGGATCTCTAGCTTGGGGAGCCTGGGAGCTGTATGTGCCATAAGGCTTAGCTCCTGTGTGGCTGCTTTTTACCTTTCAGCTGTCACTTCTCAGGAGCCTGCTCCAGACAGATACCTAGGAGAAAAGCGAAGAACTAGTTCATTCCTAAAAGTCATGCTGTAGGTAAGTTGGAGTTTTCTTAATTTTTTTCTCATAAATGATTGAACTACAGAAAGCTTTGCCTTCTTTTTTCCTAGAACCTCTTTGCTCACCAAAGGGAACTGACCCTAATGCCTGTTCTGGAGGACAGGAATGGGCTGAGCCCATCATGGGGACATGGGGCCATCATGGGGACTTCGAATATTTTTCAAGTTATTGCAGGCAGTAGTTTTCCTAAACCATTCATCAGCTGCCTTACCAATATATTTTCTTACTACCTTGCCTTGAATCCAGTGTCATGTATTTCAGGCTTTTTGTTGTGGCAGAACTTCATTTTGAGTTCTTGTTTTTTAATGAGCCAGCTGAAGCTAGTTATGCCACAGTAACAACAGCAAATCCTGCGAGACACCAAACAAGGCTGATCTCTTGGATATGTTAGGCTTGGCTTTCCTGCTTATTTTTCCTGGGATCATTTCCCATTCTCAAGGTAGAAGGAAAAGAGGAATTACAGAAACCCTAGTGGCTCTGAAAGCTTTTGTTCATGTGTAGCTTCTGCCTTTTCCTTCACGTTTCATTTGGAAAGCTGATTACATGGCCACACCCAGATTGGAGGACAGGAAACTGAATCCTACAGGGAAGGCCAGAGGATACTTTCGGGAAATAAGATAATCTACTAGTAGTGAGGTTTCCTCATTTGATTATTTTGGCTGACTTATGTTAATATAAAATTGTTACTTAAATTTAATCTATAGGGTCAGTATCTAAATTTGAATTTTAAATACTTCAGGGTAAAAGTAACAGAAATTTATACAACTTTCACCTATTCTGTTTTGGTCATATTATATGGATTGCTATACAACATAAGTCAAATGGGAAGTATTCTAATTTCTGAGGATGATTAAAAGGATTCTGGCTAAGACCTGTGGGGTGGCAATACCTTGTAATGGTGAACTGAGATTAAAAGTCTCACACACAGCTTTGTATACTCAAGAACTGAATAATGATTAGGGTAAGGCAGACAGGATTCATGCTGATCAAACTCACAGAATTTACTGATTATAAGGCTATTTGATTTACTTTTGCTAAACTATGTGCTGGGAGATGAATAGGGAGATTATCAGGGCCCTGGCCTAGTATCACTGATCTCCTGCTCGGGGATATGATGAAGGAATGAAACACAGACAAGATATATATTTGAGTTATAAGGGGAACTGGGATGGTCAAAGCCCAATGAAGGACTAAGACCATGAGGCATGGTGTCCCTGGCCTTTATTAGGTGCACAGCTTGATTGGGGGGGTTGCTGGTGGGCTGCAGGAAGTGTTGGCGGTGAGCAGCTGACTCAGGCAAGGATCAAGAACAAGGCATTTTTGGAAAAGCACACAGGAACAGGTGATGGTTAACTAGTAACCCGACTGTCTGCTAACTGCAACTGACTACTGAGCTAGAAGGAGTTTGGGTGAGTCAAAGTTCTCAGCTATAGTGTTTCTCTTGCTTTAAGGTGCCAGGACTCATAGACCATTTGCTGGTTTCAGACCTGGCCTTTGGCCTGGGGATTAATTTCATCCCCATGCCAGCCACAGGCCTTGCCACAAGTCACTTAGGCCTAGGACAGACTCTCGATTCAATTTATTTTTATGTCAATTTATTAACATCAGTCACTGCCTGCTCTGTACCACATCATGCTGGTCCTCAGCAAAATCTTTATAAGTCTTGAATTATTTGATTGGGCTTTAGTAAAAAGTGTTGTTAAAATTATAGTACACAACTTTTATAAATATTATAAAGGTACTGATACTTGTGCTTTTGAGAATGTAAAGCATATTAGTCTGTTAATGCTAATTGATTCTATTAAAATCTCCTGACAGATGAAAAGGATTGCATTCATCTCATCTATCTGAGTGGACAGTGTCTCAGATACCGATTATGTTTCCTAGCAGCTCAGTGTTGACAGGCATGTAAGTGGGCACCAAGTGGGATACCAAATAGTAAGGATGACATAACCCTTGGAGCAGCTGAAAATAAATGCACAACTGTCTGGGCAGTGGGTAGCTGGGAAGTCGGGATCCCTCTGTGCACACTCGGGGTGCTACTGAGATGCCTGTCCACCCTTCTCCCCAGGCTGTGACTCTGGTCCTTGAGGAAATAGCAGTGCCTTCTGTTTCAGGACCTGATAACCTTTGAGGATGTGGCTGTGGAATTCACCCAGTAGGAGTGGGGACAGCTGGCCCCTGCACAGAAGGACCTATAGAGGGAGGTGTTGCTGGAGAACATTGGGAACCTGGCCTCCTTGGGTGAGCCCAAAGTCTGCCCATGAGGCTGCCTTGATTTCCTTGGTGTTTAAAAGCAAGCGGGTGTCTGGGCCTGTTAGCTGAGTTTTGCCTTGGGGTTCTGGAACCAGATAATTACTTTCTTTTTAGGGCCTATAGATAAGAGTATTTGTGCTCCTAGTTCTAGCAAAAGACCTGCTTTTTATAGAGTTGAAATAGGAAGTTTCCTGATCCTTCTCATGATGCTTCACAATATCTGTTCTCTTCACCATGAAGATTGAGGTTTAAAGACTTGGCCTCCAGCACACACAGCAACAGTCCTTTTCTTTCTGTACCATCAGGCCTTCCAGTATCCAAATGGTACGTGATCTGGCAGTGGGAGGATAAGGAAGAGCCCTGCGGGTCAGAGAGAGAAATTTCAACGGGAGTGCACCCAGGTGAGGGAGTGAGACGAAGCAACATGGCACCTGATAAGGCCGATTTGGGGGATTGGAAGTTGTCCTGAGCCCTTGGTCAAGGGCCTCTCTTTTGAGAAGATGAAGCTTCTGCTGAAGCCCTCAACTTTAGTATTCTGAATTTTACACTCATTTCTTTTATCAGAAGAGGAAATGATCATTTTTCTTTCTAGCATTTCCCCTTTCTTTGGCACTGCCTGCCCATGTTGGGGTTATTGTTGACACACAGCATCACTAGATGTCTCAAGAGTCAAGGTTGGATGGATCAACAGTTGTATATAGCCAGACAGTCCTATATCAGTAGAGTTAAGGGTGTTAGTGGGGCATCAAACTGAATTATTGACAGCCAAGAAATGAAAGGATTAAAGGCCAGGGCAGACAGAGGATATCATGAAGATCAAAGGGGAAGACACTTTACTCTTGATTTAACTAAACCTTAGCAGAAGTTGTCCCAGGAACAAGGTCTATTCCTTACCAGTTTTGGTAGCATGTCTTTGATTCCTAGATGGCTTGAGAGTACCTGGTAGCCTCTATCTCTTGCAGCAGAATTTTCAACTCCAAGCTTTCTCAACTGTTGTGTGTAGCCTGAACTTACTGGAGGGGAATGACATTCTCTGCCAGTTGTTGCCCATCTGTAAGGCAGAACTATAGCCTCAGCTCAGAGCTGAAGCTCAGAAAAGCAGTGCTCACATCCCAAAATGATAGGAGCCTGGAATGTAGGATGGAGAGGGAATGTGATGATCTCCCATGTATTGGTACTTTCTTGATCGTTTTTCCTTCCAGAATGAGATCAAGGTTCTGATTCTGGATCTAGTCTTATGATCAGTATCTGTTTATTTACAGTAGTCCAAAGCAGAGCTGTGTTTCAGGATGTCCTAGGGAGATTTTTTTTGACATTTAGATTCCCAGGAACCATACAGGATCCATTAACTCAGAGTTTGTCTGAAGACAGTTATGGGTTTCCTGGTGGGGCATCACCAGTCATTTCCCTCTTCAGAAGTATCACTGTTAGGTTTTCTGTTGTTGAAATGAGTTACCACAAGCATAGCAGCTTTAAACAACACAAATATATTAGCTCCCAGTGTATAGATGAGAAGTCTGGCATGGGTCTCATTTGGCTGTAGCTATGGGGTCCACAAAGCCGTGTTGTTTTTTCCTGCCTAGGAGAGAACTTCATTCAGGTTGCTGGCTGTAAAGTGAGGAGTGTGTCCACCTGCTAGACTGACATATTCCTTTGCTCATGGTGCCCACTGTATTTCTGCCCACACAGGAAGTGTTATCTCATATTAAGGATTTATGTGATTAGACTAGGCCTGTTTGAATAATCTAGGATAACCTCCTTATCTCAAGGTGTGTGCTCTTCATCACAGTGGAAAAGTCCCTTTTGCTTTGTAAGGTAACCTATCAATAGGTTCTTAGGATTAGGACCTGGAGAATTATTCTGCCTACTGCAGTTCTACACAGTAATAGGACACATACATGCATGCATGTGTAATACAAAACAACATGCGTTTTGGACTGAGGTGTTGGGAAGAGATGAAGTGGAAGACATGAGCTTGTTTCTAAAAGATGTGCACAGCCTTAGAAATAGAGAGAGGGTGAGTATGGAGGTGTGGGGTGAAGGGAGATAGCCAATGTGCTAAACAAGAAGGATCCTTGGTCAAGTACTGAGGGCTGGAGTGAGATGCAGGAGTTATCCTGAGGTACTAGGGAGTCCTTGGGGGGGAAAAACAAGGAAAGAGACATTTTAGGAAGATGAAATGATGGAGAGTGCTTCAGGAGAGATTGGAGGAGAGTGGAATAGAAATCTGTGACATTTATTTAGACCTGAAGAAATTGTGGGGACATAGTCTGTACCCAGGTGACTCACCACCATACAATTCTATTTCTCTTTATCTTTATACTTAGACTCTTTCCCTTGTTACTTTTCCTATCTTCCCTGGGTGTGAATTCACTTTGTAGCTCAGGCTGGCCTTGAACTTGCAGCAATCCTCTTGCCTCAGTCTCCTGAGGGCTGGGATTACAGGCATTCACCAGCACACCTGGGCTCTCTCAGGTTTTCTTAACCACTAATCACCTGTTCATCACTTATTCTTTCTTTGTTGTTCAGTTTTTATTTTTTTATTACTACATGTCCTACTAATAATCACATTCCTTGTGAGGAAGTGGCACATGTACCTAACATATCTCAGATCTTTTTAAAATCCCCTTCCCCTCTTATTTATTACTTATTCTTGACACATTGAAAAGCACCTTCTGTTTCAGCCATGCTTGAAAGAATCTATGTAACCTTTTTAGATGTCATTTTAAAGCCTAATGATCTTATATTCATTATCAATTTCTTTTTGGCACATGGAACAGGTAATACTAAGACTGCCTTCCTTTTTCCTTTACAGACTGGAAAAGGACTTAAAGCCAAGGGATCATTGTCAAGTCAGAGAATTTTCAAAGAATTATTCCAGAAAGCATCAGTGGAAAAACACATTCAAGATGTCCTGTGGTCCTCTAAACTGAAGACAACCTGTGGTTGTGATGACCCTAGGTCAGAGAGGCAACAGATAATACCAGGACATTGGAAAAAAATCTCACCCACTCACAAATTCACCACCCCAGGAAAGATCATGAATGCAGTGAATTTGGGAGTTTATGCTGCAGACCAGGCCTTAAGACTAAACTTAACCAACACAGTATTCCCACAGGAGAATTCTATAAACAGAATTCAAACAAATTTCAGATAGAAGTAACTCTCAGAGAACCCAACCAGGAAAGAAATCTTATACATGTAATGATTGTGGGAAGCCCTTCCATTTCCAGTCAGAACTAAGGCACCATCAGAGATGTCACACTGGAGAGAAGCCCTATAAATGCACTGAATGTGGGAGAGCCTTTGGCCATATTTCATGCCTTCTTAAACATCAGAGAACTCACACTGGAGAAAAGCCTTATGAGTGTAGTGAATGTGGGAGAGCATTCAGCCAGAGTTCATCTCTTGTTCTACATTATAGATTCCATACTGGAGAGAAACCCTACAAATGTAAGGGATGTGGATGTACCTTTGGTCATACTTAATCCCTTATTAAACACCAGAGAACTCATACTGGAGAAAAGCCCTATGAATGTAGGGAATGTGGGAGAACCTCCAGCCAGAGTTCATCTCTCATTGTACATTGCAGATGTCATACTGGAGAGAAACCCTACAAATGTAATAAACATGGGAGAGCTTTCAGTCAGAGTTCATCTCTCACTCAACATTATAGGTTTCACACAGGAGAGAAACACTACAAATGTAATGAATGTGGAAGGGCCTTTGCTCATACTGCATCCCTTATTAAACATCAAAAAATTCATGTTGGGAAAAAAAGCCTATGAGTTCAGCAGATATAGGAAATCTTTCAGCTGGAGTACACACAACATCAAACTTCAAAGATTTATCCTGGAGAGAGAACCTGAAAGTGTACCATATATGGGAAGACTTTTGATAGAAAGAAGCATCTCATTTAATGCCAGATAATAAAGAGATAACCTTTTAGCCACACCCCTTTTCATACTAAACACTGGAGAATTCATACCAGTGAAAAACC